CGGCTCTCGGACTTCGACGCGGCGCACTCTGCCACCAAAGGGGATCTCACCGATCCCGAGACGGCGGGTCGATGGTTGAACCTTGTGGCCCAGGGACGCGTCTTGGGAGTTCTGGGAGGACCGCCGTGTGGAACCTGGAGCGCGGCTCGCCATCTCCCTTGCGAGGGTGCCACTCGGCCCCCCCGACCCGTCAGGTCTCCCGATCAGCTCTGGGGTCTGCCCTTCCTGAGGCCCCGTGAGGCGGAACAGGTGGGCCTCGGCAACTCGTTGCTTCAGACGATGATACTGTTCATGTATCAGTGTTGGAGGTACTCAGTTCCTTGCATCATGGAACATCCCGCCCCGCGCGACCCCAGGTCTGGCACCCCCTCTTCTTGGCATCTCCCCGAGATGGTCAGGCTTGCCCGATTGCCCCATGTGCAGGCTGAGTGTCAGTTTGGCAGCCCATCCCTCAAGCCCACCCGGCTTCTCTCGGTCCACTGTCCTGCGCTTCGGGGGCTCACGGACTGCAGGCCTCGGAGAGGCCGTTGTGGCGGATGCGCTCACGTGGCGCTCCTTGGGCTTAACGGCGATCGTTATTGGGTGACTGGTCGTGCGAAAGTCTATCCTAGCGCCCTCTGCCGTCATCTTGCCCCCTCTCTGCTTGCTGATATCCATCGCAATTTCACCAGCGCGCGCGGCGCTTTGACCGAGTGGGATTTGCCTGAATGCAGGAAGTGTCCGGTTCGGGCCGGTTCGGGTCGGTTTGGCGGCGGACCGGTTCGGTTGCAGCGGTTCGATTTCGGCGCGGGGTCCGGTTTTGGTCGGTCCGGTTTTGCCAGTCCGGGTCGGTTATGCCGGTTCGGTTCGGCGGTCGCGGGACGGTCCGGTTTTGGGGGGGCCGGTTTTCGGCCGGAGGGTGCCGGGGGGGGGGGGGGGGGGGGGGGGGGGTGCCGGCACCGGGGGGGGGGGGGGTGGGGGGGGGGGGGGGTGCCGGCACCAGGGGGGGTGCCGGCACCGGGGGGGGGGTGCCGGCACCGGGGGGGGGGGTGCCGGGGGGGGGGAGTGCCCGGCACCGGGGGGGGGGGGGTGCCGGCACCGGGGGGGGGGGGTGCCGGCACCGGGGGGGGGGGTGCCGGCACCGGGGGGGGGGTGCCGCACCGGGGGGGGTGCCGGCACCGGGGGGGGGGGGGGTGCCGGCACCGGGGTGGCCGGCACCCGGGGGGGGGGGGGTGCCGGCACCGGGGGGGGGGGGGTGCCGGCACCGGGTGCCGGGGGGTGGGGGGTGCCGGCACCGGGGGGGGGGTGCCGGCAACGGGGGGGGGGGGGGTGCCGGCACGGGGGGGGGTTGGGGGGGTGCCGGCACCCGGGGGGGGGGTGCCGGCACCGGGGGGGGGGGTGCCGGCACCGGGCTTTCTTGGGCCGGTGGGGAGTCCCGGGGCCCGGTTCGGTTCCACCCGGTTCGGGCTTGCCGTTCGGGCCGGTTTCGACCGGCCGGTTCGGTTCGAACCGCCCGGTCCGGTTTCAGCCGGGCCGGTTCGGGCTCCGGTTCGGGCGGTTCGGTTGCAGGCGCCGCCGGTTCACGGTTACCAGTTCGGTTCGGACTTAGAAGAATGGGCGGCGGCTTTCCATGCGCCGCTCGACCCCTACGTTCAGCATCAGATGGCGGATGACTGCATGGCTCATGGGCCTCCCAACTGCCCTCGCGGTAGCCAGGGCTAGGCCTGGGCCCTCCTCCCTCCCCTTCTCTCTCTCTGTGCATGAATTCGCGCTCTGCTCTTTTGTCCTGCTCGGCTTCACCCTTGTACAGGCTACGGACTTCCAGCCTCACCGATGCGATGCGATGCGATGCGAGGAGGAGGAGGAGGAGGAGGAGGAGGGTAGAAGGAGGAGGAGGAGGAGGAGGAGGAGGAGAGGGAGGAGGAGGCGGAGGATGGGGAAACGGAGGAGGAGGATAACGAGGAGGAGGAGGAGGAGGAAGAGGAGGAAGAGTAGGATGATGATGATGAGGAGGAGGAGGAGGGACAAATGGAGGAGGAGGAGCAGGAGAAAACCGAGGAGAAGGAGGAGGAACGAAACGGAAGGACCCGCGGGGGAGTACGATGATGATGATGATGTTGTTGATGATGATGATGATAATGATGATGATGATGCTGATGATGATGATGATGAGGATGATGCTGATGATGATGCTGATGACTATGAGGAGGATGAGGAGGACGAGGAAGAGGAGGAGGCAAAAGGAAAAAAAGGAGGAGGGAGAGGGGCGGGAATAAATGCAGGCAAAAGGGAGGACGATGGCTCCGGGAGCTGGGCGGCCACAGGGGGGAGGGGGGGCTCCAAGCCCCCCCCCTTTTGCACCAAGGGAGGGAGGGGGGGGGAGCTTCCAAAGCCCCCCCCCCCTTTCAAAGGGGGGAGGGGGCTCGCCCCAGCTCCATTAAAAGGAGGGAGGGGGGGGGGGGGGGGTAGCTTGGAAGCCCCCCCCCTTTCCGGCCACGAAAAGGGAGGGGGGGGGGTAGCTTCCGAAGCCCCCCCCCCCCTTTCAAGGGGGGGGGGGGGCTCACCCGGCTCAATTAAAGGGAGGGAGGGGAGCGGGGTAGCTTGGAAGCCCCCCCCCCTTTCCGAACCACGAAAAGGGGGAGAGGGGGGGGGGGGGCTTCCGAAGCCCCCCCCCCCCCCTTAAGCAAGGAAGGGGGGAGGGGGGTAGCTTCAAGCTGGGGCCCCCCTTTTAGTCTATCGGGCCCCGCGCGCGCGCTCTATCATACATACATACATACATACATGCATACACACACATACATACATACATGCATACATGCATGCATGCAGGCAGGCAGGCATACATACATACATACATGCATGCATACATACATACATACATACATACATACATACAAGTAAATAAATATTGAGTTCTGGCCTCGGAAACGTGAGCTTGGTGTAATTTACTCGCGGTCCTTGCGTCGGGGGCGCGAATATCAAGCATGTGTACGTGTCCCGGACCAACAAAGAATTCAGGCAACGAGATTCGGGCGTGGTGGTCGGGGTGGTTTTCGGCATCCCCCCTTCGCGCGGAGAGTAGCAGATTCGACCACGAAACATAAAGTATAATCATAACATGAGAAGCTGGAAATCGGAACTGGAGCGGGAAGCAGGACACCTCCGCCACGTAGCCTGGCGGCCCCACAAGGGGCCTGTGGGCATTTACATCATAGACATGGACATATATATATATATATATATATATATATATATATATATATATATATGATGTGAAATATAAATATATAGATAGGTAGGTAGATAGATAGATAGAGATGTGTGTGGGGGGGATCTTCGGCCCATCCCGCCACCGCGCCGAGCTTGTAGGCCAGAGGCCTCTTGGATGCCCGTGAGGATCTCTTGGAGGCATCTCGGGAGCCTCTTGGGGACGGTTTTAAGGCTTCTCGGGGGCCTCTCCCTGGGCTTGATTTGGGCCTCTTGAGAGCATCCTGGAGCTGCTGGGGGGCTTCTCGGGGGCCTGCTGGCGGTCTCGGAGGTCGTCTTTGAGCGGAGGGCTCGCAATGCCAGTTCATGTTCCCCCTCTGGGGCCTCTTTCGGGGCCCTCTTGGGGGCCTCTTGGATCGTCTTGGCGCCCTCTTCTTGGGCCGTCTAGAGGCCCTCTTGGGAGCTCCGTGTGCCGACTCGAGGCGATCTTGGAGGTTTCTTGGGCCGTCTTGGAGCGCTGGCAGCCCCAAGAGGCGGGTACGCCATAGCCAAGAATACACTGACGGACGATCAGAAAGTTTTGCCTTTCGGGGCCCTTTTGAAAGTGCTCTTGAAGCCCTCGTGGGGCGTTTTGGGGGTCCAGGGGTATCTTGGCCCGTCTGGAGGCCCTCCTAGGCGTTTTCGAGCGATCTTCGGCGACTCGGAGCTCTCTTGGCCGGTATTCGGGGCCTCGTGGGGGCCTCTGGGCCCGTTTGGGGGTCCTCTTGGCCCAGAGAAGGTAGTGCGACGACATGCGGGGGCTGGCCGAAGGCACGCGACGCGATGCGCCCCAGCAGATCCAGGAATTTGGAGTCCGGGCCCCTTCAGACTCATTCACTTAGGATTGGGAACGCGGAGCTCCAAGGGATCTGAGGACACTCCAACCCGTGCCTAAGGGCACAGTGGCGGTTTCTGCATATATATATATATATATATATATATATTTATATATACACACAAGCGTTCAGACATGCAGATACATACAGACACACGTCTACACGCATACATATATATATATATATATGTGTACATGCGTGCATGCATACAGTCGCATTGCCGCGCGATTCTGCCACCGCGCTCGGGCGGTCGCCCATGCAGAGGTCGGGCTCAGATGGCAGAGCCTGAGGTCGACCCCCCATGAGAGGGCGAAGGGTCTCCACGCTGCCAGAGCTGAGTACATTCTGGCAGATGGGGACGGAGGCAGGAGGAAGAGAAGGGGAAAGGGGTGCAAGCAGGGAGAGAGGCAGAGAAAGGGAAAGGATGGAAGACCCAATGCCACTAGCAGTGAATACATTCCTTTTGTGGCTGGTGGTTGTGAGACAGATCCCAGGAAGGTAAAACTAGGGCGCGCGCGGAGCGCGCGAGATGGTTCTAGCATGTATATATATACATATATATATATATATGTACATATATATGTATATATATATATATATATTAATTATGTGTGTGTGCATATGTGTCAACCCCGATGCCTCCAGGAACTTCCGATGACCTCTGGAGAGGTCTGGGGAAAGCGGTTTCTCAGTGTAGACTTACCTCCCCCAGCAGAGCTGTTCGTTGTTGTAAGCTCGTGTGCCCCAGCCACTCCTCACTGTCCCACCCTGGCGCGCAGCCGAAGTCTGGCGTCGAATCTCTCCGTCCGTCTTAGCTTTCCGAACCTGCATTATAAGATAAGGTGATACTTGAAGCGTCTCGAACTGATTACCTCCATACAGTCTGGTTGCTGTGAACGCTGCAAGACGAGAGTGTCGGGGTGAGTTGGGATTGTCGAGGTTCTGCAGCAGGCGTTCGACCGCTGTGGGATCGAGCGGCACGTCGAGGCCACGAGCGGGCCGGCTTGTTGTGGTTTGTTTGTTGTCTTCTTCGACGCCAGTGGTGTACGCGTTCTCTTCTTGCTTTAGGAGGAGGAGGAAGAGGAGGAAGAAGAGGAGGAGGAGGAGGAGGGGGAGGAGGAGGAGGAGGAGGAGGAGGCGGAGGAGGAGGAGGCGGAGGAGGCGGAGGAGGAGGAGGAGAAGGAGGAGGAGGAGGATCTCTTCTTGCTTTCAAGTTTGAGCTAGGCAGGCGTGGTCGATGTATCGAAACTGGCGCATCACCTCCAGCGCGAGTCCTGGAGCAATCCACGGCGATCGCACGGTGCCCAAATGCATTCCAGGCTAGCTTGGTCTTATGAGGTCCCAGCCAACCTTAGCTTTGATAGTCCGAAAGAATGTCGAGCACCAAGAAAGTACCGACACTCGAGGGTTTTCACGTGTCGGGCCCTGCGAGGCGATACTCTTTCGACACTTCGCTAGCGTGTCGGGCAGACACCGTTTCGATACTTCTCTGGGTGCTCGGAATTCGTTCTGGGAAGTAGTTCGCAAGTACGCAGGGAACAACATAAGCTTGATCCTCGGTTCAGCCTAGGCTTGCGCAACTGTAATGTATGATCTTGTTTCGTTCAGCATCACGGTTGTCTTGTGCCCGTCGCTCGTGAGTTCGAACACCCCATTGCAATAGATCAAGTCCATCATGGTGATTGTTGTACACATGTTGGCATGTTCTACACATGTTGGCCTGTGTGTGTGTTCATTTCTAGGTCTAGGGACGCCAGAGCGATGATGCCCGGTCACAATATGCCATTCATGCCATGTTGGTCGTTACCATGTATTGCGTTGAGCTTGCGCTTGGGATTGATGACATGTTTTGCGCACCCGCATTCGTACATATGTATGTGCGCTCTGGCTGGAGGTTGACAAGCTTGTCAGAGGCAAGTATCAGGAGCAACACCTCCTTTTCCTATGGTACGGGCTTGAGCACATGTTGCTACCGAGGGAGTAACTCCGATACACACCGCGTCGCGGGGGGGGACGGCCGACAGGAGTCTTGTCGTTCCTCCTTTCTCTTCCTCCTTCCTCCCCTCGCGCACCCCCCCTTCTCCTCCTTCTGCGATTCCTCTGCCTCTGTATCCTCATGTTCCTCGTCGTCGTCATCGTCCTCTCCTTCTACCCTTGCTTAAGTTTCGATTATTGTTCTGCCTCCACTTACGCGTCGTTCGCTTGCCAGTGCTCTTTGCTCCTGCGCGTCCTGTCAATATCTCATTAATCGTCCTCTTCTTCCACTTCCCCTCAACATCTTCCTTACCCTCCCCTCTGATTCCCGCATTCCCCCCTCCTCTCGCTGTGGTATGTATTTTTGTTTTCTTCCTCATCTTCCTTCTCCGGCTTCTCCTCCTCAGCATCTACATGTTCCCGATGATCCGCCCCTACCTGGTTCTGAAAATTGTCCCCTGCTCATCAGTATTCTTTGTCCTCGCCCCATCCGTGTCCTTCTCTTTCACCGCCTCTTTCTCCTCCCCTCCCCGACGACCGAAGACGGCCCCAGGGTGTTTTCTGCTCAGGCCTCTTTCTCACCGTCCTTGACTGCTCAGTGTGTCCCAGCCCCTTGGGTCGGAGCTGGCCAGGGCTGCTGCGGCTGGAGTGGAGTCTAAGCAGGGGGCGACTGTGGCCTGTTACCGCCTACCACGCGAGCTGAATTCTTGCTTGAGGATGCGGGAATTGGCCGTCAGGGGCTCTTCGGGGGCCCCTGTTGGGCCCCCGACGGCCTAAAACGGCCCTAAGGATTTTGTGTTCCTGGGGCCCCTTTTCTCGGTGTCTTCGACTGTTCAGCTTGCTCCACCTCCTTGGGTCGGGAGTGGCAGGCTGAGCGCGGGTTTGGGAGCTGCCGCGCTGCTCCGGGCATTGCACCCGACCACCTTCTTCGACGAGGAACTAAAGAAGCCAGCGTGAACTGGTCTGGGGTTAAAGATAATCTCCTTGGGTCGGGAGTGGCCAGGATCGATTCTGGTAAAGGAGGCCCCGGCAGGGACTGGACCGGGCTCGTTGCCCCCCTACCACGCGGGCAGACTGCGGCATGCCTTGCTGGGGCTGGGCGGGTGCCCTTGGGTAGATCTATTCCGAGCTTTTTCATTCGCGCGCGGGACGCTCTGGGCACTTCTGTTGGGCCGCGTGTGAGGCAGGTCTCCCTTGGGCCGCCTGGGGCCGTTACTGAGGCTGGTCTGCGGTTGTGTCGGGGGCCTCTTGGAGCTGCTTGGGGGACCCTGTGTGGACCTGTTCGAGTCCTTTTGGTGCCGCACTGTGGCTTTCTCGCTGGTCTCTCGGGGGCAGCTTGGACCGCCCGATGGCCCCGTGGGGCCGTCTTGGGGGCCCTCTCGGCCCGCCTTGAGCTCCTCCCCCGTGACGGGGCTCCTGGAAGCCTCCGAGCCCTTCCGAGAGTCCCCTTGCCCTCTTGGCGGGCTGCCCCTCCCCCCCCCCCCGCCGCACGCCCCTCCGCGGCGCACCGCCAACACGCACCACCGCGTCAACAAAATCACAGCCAGATCCCCCCCCGAAACAAAAAGATCCGCCGACCCCATCTCTGGGCGTGACCTCTCGAGACACCGCTTCCAGGCCGTTGCAGTGGGGCCAGAGTGATCAGATAGGTGTCGGAGGGCGGCGGCGCACCCGAGAACCCTGGGGGTACCCTGGGCCAGGGGTACTTTTAGCAACACCCGAAGTAGAGGGATCAGAGGGATTGGGCCGACGGGCGAAGTCAAAACAGAGGAACTCCACGTCGCCCGCGGTGGCACGAGGAGGGTCGCGCTCCGCACGTCGCGGGCCGTCGTCACGACACGGGCCTGCCGTAGGACGATCTGGCGCCAGGTGGGGCGGAAGCTGAGGGAAGGCGACCAGGATCGGAGCGTCACGCCGTCAGAGGTCTGACTCCTGTTTGGGGCTTCCGCAACGCAACGCAACGCAACTCCCGATCGGCCCGAAGGCCGTGCCAATCTAGAACTCGGGGGGAACACTTGGCCCGTGCCTCCGGCACCCGGGCAAATGCGCGAACGTCTAACGAGGATTGATTCACGGGCAGGCAGGGGCGGGGAGCGGAGAGAAAGTGCCGGAGGCGCACAGAGACTTTGATGCTCTAGCCTCGGTATTTCTCCTCTTCCTCTACGTCGATGTTCCTCCTTCCTGCTCCTCCCCCCAGAGTCCAACTCGATCCGATCGGTACGATTCGATATCGATTCCTGCCGGCCCGATCCGATTCGGAACCGACATGCCGATGATCCGATGCGGCCCGACACCCGCATGCCGCTGTTGTGCATCCTGGCGCTGGGGGTACGATTCGCCTTGGACTCCATGCCGGTGCAGTCCGATCCTGTGCACATTCCGATCTGGTGCGATCTCCCGATCCGATGCCAGCTGATTCTGCCTCCGCTGCTCCTGTTACTCCTGCTGCTCCTCCTCTCACTCGATCCTGCTCCTGTTACCGCTCCTCTCCCTCGATCCTGCTCCTCTCCCTCGATCCCTCTCCTCTCCCTCGATTCTGCCTCCGCTATTCCTGTTACTCCTGTTACTCCTGTTGCTCCTCCGCTCCGTCGATCCTGCTCCTCCCTCAGGACAACCTCGAGATGCTGCAGTGGATCAAGACGTACTACGACCGCACATCCCAGGCGTCCCCTTGTGGTGCGAAGTGTCCTGGCCACGTTGCTGTAGCCGGCCGCTTTGTAACGCTCGATGCGCACCCCTGCTGCTGCCCCCCACTCTGTGCGCAGGGCGGAGTAGGACATGGATAAAAAAGCGCGGCATCGGAGGCCCGGAATTTATCCACATCCCCGCTCTGGCTCCTCGTGGGTGGGGGTCGCGAGCAGGCATGAATAATGTGTCGATCGCCTAAACTGCATTGACAGAGGCACGTCTGGAAAGAAAGGGACCCCCTGCTCAGTCTCAGCTGCATCGGAGGAAGCGGTTGGACGTTCAGTTGATAAGTATCAGAGCGATAATTAAGGCCGTGTCATGAATGTGATGTGGTGGTCGTGTGACGTTGCGCAGACGACAGCGAGTGCATAGTAGCATCGCCCGCGTGCTGTGCCCACCCGCGTGCCAGAGTCGCGTTCCCGCTGCCAGGGTGGCGAGTACAACGCGGTGGCGAGACGTTACTGTGCAGACCCTCCTGAGTGGGCAAGGCTGCTAAGATGGTTTTCATCCGTCTGCATCACTCGACAGTGCCAGATCATCATCACATCGTTGCGAGCATGCTGAATTGCTCTTGACATCTCAAAGGTGTTGCGTGCAGTGTCATGGACAGGCTTGGTTTGGATCATCGTGATTAACGTGTTTGGTGCTGCATGGCAGGTGACTTTCCAGCCTTAGCACGCGTGTGATATGACTGTTGTCATGCAGAGGTCAGTCAAACCTGCTAATGCATGCTTAATGAAATATCACGTGTTGGGCAAACTATGAAGTCTAGTAGCGCTTGTGTTTATCACGCATACTAGCACACGTCGTCGCATCGCAGCAGCCATGTCTTTGTTTCGCAGCGTGCAGCGTTTCCTCAGCTCCACAACTTTGACGTGAGTCCTCCCTGCAGGGCAGCACCTGGCAACGGTGGCAGCACCGCTTCTAGATCTGCTGGCAGCCGAAGCAGCTTGCAGGCACGCGCGGGGTACAGAGCGCCAGACACAAGCGAGCAGCGTGCTCTCAGGAACGTGGGTGCTGCATCTCGTCTCGTGTGAAGGGCGGGGAAGCTGGCGATCTCCCTCTCGTGGTTACTTATCGAAGGAGCCTCACGATTGGTTCCGCCGACCCTGATGGGAGATCAGGAGGCCCCTGAGAGCGGCGAGGAGGCCGAGGAGACCTTCTGTGGCCAGACCAACCGTTGATCCCTTCTCATGTACGTACCTCGCTCAACGCTGCAAAATGGAGGAGGGGGGTGTGGGCGGGGCGAGGCAGGGCGAAGGCGCGGGCGCGGGCGAGCACGATCGCAAAGGAGCAGGACGGCAGCGACGTGGAGGAGGTGAGCGTGCGCGCAGATAGCTGCAGCTTAGTACATAAGCAAGGGCGCCCTCGAGGGCGCGAAGTTATTCGCGCTTCGCGCTTCGCGCTTCGGCTCCTATTCCTCCTCGTCCTCCTCTTCTCCCCTGGGAGGCGGCGCGAGAGCGCGAAGTTATTCGCACTTCGCGCTTCGCGCAGCGCGAAGCGCGAAGTTGGGAGCCCTTGATAAGCCCCTGCTCGCTCGGCAAGAGGCCACAGGGAGACTCTGCATGAATCGCTGCTTCGTCGCTGGGCGGGCGTTCACAGAGACGCTTGCCCCACAGCTACCCCGGAGCGGTGAAGAGCAGAAGGGGGGCGAGAGGAGTGGGGCTGGGGGGGGGGGAAGGGAGCAGCGGAGGGGGAGTGGGGGGAGAAAGGGGTTGGGAGGTGGCAGGTGGGGGGGTGAGCGGTGGGTGGAGGGTGAGGGTGGGCGGCGCATGGCGGGGGTGAAGAGAGAGTGGAAGAATGGGGTAGAGGGGGAGGGGTGAAGAGAGGGGTGGAGGGGGGGTAGAGGGGAGGAGGGACGGGAGGAGGGAGGGGAGGAGGGAGAGGAGGAGAGGGGGGAGGAGGGAGGGGAGGAGGGCCAAGCCCAGGGAGAGAGGGTAGGGCAAGCTCGGCGCGCTCGCGTCACATCCGACACCCGATCCTTCCATCCCATCCTTTCCCACTGCGCCGATAGTTTCGCTATCCGCGGACGCGTGCCATAGCCGACGTAGAACTCATCAACAACATCGGGTTATGCACAATCGGATAGGGGGAGCTGCTTATAGAGGAGGAGGTAGCGGGTGAGCAGGGGGATGAGCAGGAGGAAAGGGAGGAGGATGAGAAAGAAGGAGGACGAGGACGAACAGCAGCAGCAGCGGGAATTGGACTGGAAGGACCTTACGGATCTGCGTGAGGGGTGCCGCCGAATTTCAGAAATGCAGCAAATCCCTTGTGTTCTTGGACCCTGACCTTGCCGATCTGCGTGAGGGGTGCCACCGAATTTCAGAAATGTGGCAAATCCCATGTGTTTTGATCTGCGTGAGGGGTGCCACCAAATGTTAGAAATGTGGCAATCCCATGTGTTTTGGGACCCTGACCCCGCCGATCTGCGTGAGGGGTGCCACCGAATTTCAGAAATGCAGCAAATCCCTTGTGTTCTTGGACCCTGACCTTGCCGATCTGCGTGAGGGGTGCCACCGAATTTCAGAAATGTGGCAAATCCCATGTGTTTTGATCTGCGTGAGGGGTGCCACCAAATGTTAGAAATGTGGCAATCCCATGTGTTTTGGGACCCTGACCCCGCCGATCTGCGTGAGGGGTGCCACCGAATTTCAGAAATGCAGCAAATCCCTTGTGTTCTTGGACCCTGACCTTGCCGATCTGCGTGAGGGGTGCCACCGAATTTCAGAAATGTGGCAAATCCCATGTTTTTTTGGACCCTGACCCTGCCGATCTGCGTGAGGGGTGCCACCAAATGTTAGAAATGTGGCAATCCCATGTGTTTTGGGACCCTGACCCGGCCGATCTGCGTGAGGGGTGCCACCGAATTTAAGAAATGTAAGATCCCATATGTTTTTGAACCCTGACCCTGCCGATCTGCGTGAGGGGTGCCACCGAATGTCAGAAATGTATCAAATCCCATGTGTTTTTGGACCCTGACCCTGCCGATCTGCGTGAGGGGTGCCACCGAATGTCAGAAATGTCGCAAATCCCATGTGTTTTGGGACCCTGACCCCGCCGATCTGCGTGAGGGGTGCCACCGAATTTAAGAAATGTAAGATCCCATGTGTTTTTGAACCCTGACCCTGCCGATCTGCGTAAGGGGTGCCACCGAATGTCAGAAATGTAGCAAATCCCTTGTGTTCTTGGACCCTGACCCTGCCGATCTGCATGAGGGGTGCCACCGAATGTCAGAAATGTCGCAAATCCCATATGTTTTTGCACCCTGACCCCGCCGATCTGCGTGAGGGTTGCCACCGAATGTCAGAAATGTGGCAAATCCCATGTGTTTTTGGACCCTGACCCTGCCGATCTGCGTGAGGGGTGTCAACTTTTACCCACCCCAGCAATTCAGACAACACGTTCAGGGCGTGGTAAAAATGCCCGTTTTGGGCCTCCCCCCCTCGCGCGGTCCATCAACAAGGAACAGCAAGCAGCAAGAAGTCAACAAGGAACAGTAAGTAGCAAGAAGCAGAACTGTAACAGTGGAAACTGGAAGCTGCAACTGGTACAGGAAACTGCGAACCTTAGCCCTACAGCCTGGTGGCCCCACAAGGGGGCCGGCGGATTCCGCTCCTACTCCGTCATGCCTCCCCGTCTTCTCTTGAAGCGAACGCTCAACTACCAAGACGGCCCTGTAGTTTGAGCCCAGGCAGACATACCACACAGGTCGCCCGCCTTTGGAAGAGTATCACCGGGCCAGTCCGCAGCAGGCATCATTGTTCCTTGCCGCATCGATGAGCAATGTGCAGTTGCTGCCCTACGCCGCGCCAGGGCTCATCGGCGCCAGCGGTTGGCCGCAACCTCGGCGCCAGAGGAAGGGTGGCCGCAGCCCGCCTGTCTCGCTCCCCTCCCGATCGCCCGCGGCAAGCACGAAGTGCTTCGGATCCACTGCCCCCTTATTCGTGTTCCTGCTCCCGTTGCTGCCCCGCGAGAACGCAAGGACGACGAGGAGGAGGAGGACGAGGAGGAAGACGAGGAGGAGGAGGATGAGGGACGACGACACGCCGATGACGAGGACGAGGACGAGGACGATGACGATGACGATCACGGTGACGATAACGATGACGATGATGAAGATGATGACGGTGATGATGATAGTGGTGGTGATGATGATGGTGGTGATGGTGGTGATGGTGGTGACGATGATGCTAATGGTGATGGTGATGATGATAATGCTGATCATGATGGTGTTGCCGATGATGATAGTGCTGATGTTGCTGATGATGATGACGATGATGTTGATAATGGTGGTGATGGAAATGTTGATGGTGATGGTGATGGTGATGGTGGTGGTGATGATCATGATGGTGGTAATGGTGATGATGGTGGTGATGATGGTGGTGGTTATGACGATGATGATGATACTGGCGATGGTGATGATGATGATGGTGATGGTGATGGTGATGATCATGTTTGTGATGGTGGTGGTGGTGGTGATGGTGGTACTGTTGATGATGGTGATGATGGTGGTGATGACGATGATAATGCTGATGCTGATGATGGTGATGATTAGGATGGTGATGGTGGTGGTGATGCTCATGATGGTGATGGCGGTGGTGGTGTTGGTGATGATGATGATGCTGATGACGACTACGACGTTGATGTTGTTGATGTTGATGATGTTGATGATGGTGGTGGTTATGATGATGACGATGATGATGATGGTGGTGATGATGATGATGATGATGATGGTGATAGTGATGGCGATGGTGATGATGATGGCGATGGTGGTGGTGAGGGTGATGGTAAAGGTGATGGTGGTGGTGTTTGTGATGGTGTTGGTGACGGTGACGGTGATGGTGATGGTGATGGTGATGATGACAGTGATTTCATAATGATGGTGATGAGGATTATGATGGTGATAGTGATTGTGATAGTGATGGTGTCGGTGGTGATGGTGATGATGGTGGTGGTGATTATCATGACGGTGGTAGTGGTGGTTGGTGGTAATGATTGGTGTGGTGATGGTGATGATGATCTTGCATTTGTTGGTGATGATGATGACGATGACGATGACGATGACGAATATTGTGGTGATTAATGGTGAGGGATATGATGATGCTGGTGATACTGACGACGTTCACGGCGATGATTAGGATGACGATGTTGTTGATGGGGATGACGGTGATGATGACGACAGTTCTGCAAAGCACGGGGATGTCCCCCACTCACCCTCCTCATCTCGTGGAGCGAGCGTTCCAGATCACACTCAGCGCGTTCCGGAGCGCTCTGGAACGACCGCCCGTGCTTGATACACTCCAGAACCGCAGGATCTCAGAGGTCATCGATGTTTCCCGGTCCGATGTCGTCCCGGTCTTCCTCTCGTCTTACCACTGTGCCCCCCTGGCGGCGCCTCCCGCGCTGCCCCAGGCGCGCTCGCGCCAGCGAGGGGGGGGTCCAGCGCCGACCCACGAAGTCCGCGCGGACCTCCGAAGGTCAATGTTCGTGCTGCTGTGACGTCTGCCCAGCCAGAATCTCCAGAACCTACCATTTTCTAGGCCTCCCAGATGGGGTCGGAGTAGATGGGGTCGGAGGCTCGCACCGCATCGCCGATGCATCGGCGATGCATCGGCGATGCGTTGGCGATGCGGCTCGATGTGGAGACTGTGTTTCCCCACGCCGACGTCGCCGACGCATCGCCGATGCATTGCCGATGCATCGGCGATGCATTGGCGATGCGGCGCGATCCCTCGACCCCATCTACTCGGACCCCATCCAGGAGGCCTCTAGATTTGGAGCCCAATCCTCTCCACGCCGACGTCGCCGATGCAGCGGCGATGTATCGACGATGCGGCGCGAGCCCCCACCTGGGAGGCCCTCCGCTCGGAGTGCCCCGAGGGCGGCGGCAGGAGCTCCAGGCCGCCCGGGGTGCCGACGGTCGGAGGTCGGAGGGCCCCAGAGACCGCTTTTTTTGCTCCCCTGGAGATGCCGGGCGTGACCCGGTGAGGCGGGGGTCCTCCTCCTCCTCTTCCTCCTCCTCCTCCTCCTCCTCCTCCTCCTCGTCATCGTCATCATCATCATCATCATCATCATCATCATCATCATCATCATCATCATCATCATCAGCATCATCATCATTATCATCATCATCATTATCATCATCATCCAGGGGGCCAGTCAGGTCACGATTTGCGCTGGCGCCGTCTGGGGATGCCCGGGAATGACTCATTCCCAGACGGCGCTGGCGCGAATCGTGACGTCACCAGAGGCAGGGGGAGAGGGGGCGGGTCCGGTATCGGGCGTGACCGCGAATACTAAAATTATTCCGTTGGTAGGACTTCACATGAGAATATGCTTAACTTTCCTGAGGATGTCCTTCTGCCCCCTCCCTTCTCCCACATACGCCTGCCTCCTCCTTCTCCTCCTGCCTGCTCCTCCTCCTCCTGCCTCAACCCTTGCCTCCTCCTCCTCCTCCTCCTCCTCCTCCTCCTCCCTCCTCCTCTCCTCCTCCTCCTCCTCCTCCTCCTTGCCTCCTCCACCACCTCCACCTCCTCCTTTTCCCTTTCCCTCCTCCTCCTCCTCCTCCTTTGGAATCCACTGCCCCTCTGTTCTGAAGCAGTTGTATAGGAGGCGGTAAAGAGGACAGGGTGTTTACACAGCTTGGAGGAATTCGTGAATTCAGTGTGGGCCGGGCTTGACGCGCCTCGAAGAAGGCGCGCGCACCCGAATCGCAAGCATATGGCTATATGCGGGCCCAGGACAGTTTACTTCCCGTCGTCGTTCTCGCCCTCGCTCCGTTCCCCTTCCTTTCTTCCCCCCTTGGATGGTGTCGAAAGCGTCCGCGGCTCAGGCGGGGGAGTGCACCTTTCCACCTCCCCCATTATTCCTCGTTCCTCTTTGCCTCCCTGCTCCGTTCCACCGTCCGTCGTCCTACCTCGTCTTCCCTCCTCGTTCGAAAAATGAAGTCTCTGGTGCCACGTGCCCGCATCAGCGGCATATCGCCTTTTCGATATCCGAGCACAGCGGCGCAACCAAACAGAGGGGATTGTCAATGCGGGTTTTCGGGGCGCACTCCAAACGCGGGCGGCACGGCTGCCGAGCGCAGTCGCATCGCTAGCATGTAAATGTATAGGTGCCTGCGGCAAGGCCCGCCCCCTTGCCACTGCAGTGGTCTGTATGGCGACGCGTGGAGCTTTGACTATGAAGATGTCCATGACATGTGACACCTTTCGTGTTTTCGGATTGCTCTGCGGCTTTTTGGGGGGTCCTTCGAGGCCTTTTGGGACGTTTTCGGGCCGTCGGGGGCCGCTTTGGCGTCGCGTTTCACCGTGGCCGCCTTGGGCCGGGGAAGCGTGCATTTGCAGTTCCTTCGGGGGCGCCCTGGGCCGGGGAAGTGTGCATTTGCATTCCCTCCTAGCTGGGCATTTCGACCTCGGTTCTGGGTTGGCAAAGTCGGGGCACCCTCGAGGCGGCGAGCGTTCACCTTTTCGAAATGCACAGATCAAGGTGCGATCTGTTTACACAGTTTGTGTCTTCAACTGTGTGTGTTTGGTGTGTGGGCTTACTGTCTACACAGATCGTGGTGTGATCTGTGTACACAGATCTTGTTCCCATCTGTGTTTTTGGAGTGTGCCCCTCGCGGGTGGTGTTGATTGGGCGGAACTTTCACGTTTGTTTCTCGGCTGGTCCAGGGGGGCGTCGTGCGCGGTCGAAATACACAGCTCGTGTCTCGAACTGTGCATTTGTTGCGCGCCACTCGCTGGAGTGGCCACTGAACGAAAGTTTTCGCGGGTCGCCCGGCTGGTCCAGCAGGGGGCCGTGGTCTGGGAGTGCAAAGGCGCGGGGGGGTGGGGATGGTGGGCTGTGGGAGTGAAGAGGTTCGATTGGAGGGGTGGCTAAGGGACCGGGGATGAACTGGACTGGACGAGACGGGAGGAAGTGGGCCCAGGAGGAGCTGCATCATCGGCGTCAGCATCACGAGGACAAGGGGGGGCAGAAGGAGGGGGCATGATCTGCACTAGGGCGTAGAGGATGGGAGGAGGGCAAGCACGTGGACGATGGGGAAATTCATCCGGCGGAGGAGGACGACGAGGAACGACATGAATTGGCACATGTGGTGGTGACAGTGTGGACGAGGGGCCTGATGAGGACTGGGGGTGGTCGGAGGGGCATGAGGAGGGTGGGGCCACAGCGAAGGGATATTGGGAGGAGGCGGGGGATGGGACAAGAGTTCGAGGAGGGCGCCAGCTATCGCTTAGCTGAACAGTGTTTTGCGTGTCCGTGCACCCCCCCAGAACACAGCGACCGGTTGCAGAACTTCATGATATGGGTAATCGTGGGCCTCGTGCTCCCAGGCCGAAGTCTCGAGTCCACGACGCCCCTTGGCGTCGCGTTGATGCCACCCCGATTTGCCAGACCGCAGATGCACAGATCGTCATAATTTGTGTTTCAACGTTTGTTTCATGACCCTTTCTGTAGTAACAGACCCACGCTGGAATTCAACTCTTCCTCCTCATCCTCCTCCTCCTCCTCGTCCTCCTCTTGCCTCCTCCTCCTCCTCCTGCTCCTCCTCTTCTCCTCCTGCCTCCTCCTTAGGCCTCCTGCCTCCTCCTGGGGCCTCCTGGGGCCTCCTGGAGCCTTCTGGGCGTCCCTGGACTTCCTGGGGCCTCCTAGGGCATTCTTATTTTTCTTTCTCCTCCTCCTCCTCCTCCTCCTCCTCCCCTTCTCCTCCTCCTCCTCCTCCTCCTCCTCCTCCTCCTCCTCCTCCTCCTCCTCCTCCTCCTCGCAATTCACTCACAGACGAGGTTGCCGCCTGATACTTCCTCCAGATTCAGGACGCGACGACACTTACAGGAGGCCGATGACCCGCCTCGGGTTCGAACATGAACTGCGGGCGCCATAGAGAGGGGATTTCCGCCTGTGACCTCCTCGCAATACACTCACAGACGAGGTTCCCGCCTCATATTTCCTCCACTTTCAGGCTTCAGGAGCCCAAAAGTGACGACAATTACAGGAGGCCGATGACCCGCCTCGGATTCGAACATGAAGTGCGCGGTCGGCATGGAGAGGGGGTTCCCGCCTGAGACCTCCTCGCAATTCACTCACGGACAAGGCTTCCGCCGGATACTTCCTCCAGATTCAGGCCTCAGGAGCCCAAAAGTGACGGCAGTTACAGGAGGCCGATGACCCGCTTCGGATTCGAAAATGAAGTTCACACCCTATAGAGAGGGGGCTCCTGCCTGAGACTTCCTCGCAATTCACTCACAGACGAGGTTCCCGCCTGACATTTCCTCCACATTCAGGCCTCAGGAGCCCAAAAGTGACGACAGATACCGGAGGCCGATGACCCGCCTCGGATTCGAACATGAAGTGCGGGCGGCATAGAGAGGGGGCTCCCGCCTGAGACTTCCGCGCAATTCACTCACAGACGAGGCTCCCGCCTGAGACCTCCTCAATATCCAGGCTTCAGGAGCCCAAAAGTGACGACAGTCACAGGAGGCCGATGACCCGCTTCGGATTCGAACATGAAATGCGGGCCCCATAGGGAGGGGGTCCCCGCCCGAGATTTCCTCGCAATTCACTCAGACGAGGCGCCCGCCCGAGACGACGCATTGGCAAGTGATGACCATCATGATGTGAGTGATGATGCTGATTGAGATGATGATGAAATCCGTGGTGATGATGGTGTGGGAGTGATTAAGTGCGTGATAGTGCGATCGTGTGTGGTGAGTGCGTGAGTGATGGCGACGGGATGAATGACTGCGTGTGGTTGATTGATTGCGTCATAGAATGATCGTGTGTGGTGAATGTGTGTGACGGGTGATGATGGTGCGAATGATTGAGTGAGTGAGTGCGCGAAGGAAGAAGAGGAGACAGGGTGAGGTGACAGGACTGGCGCGGGGTGTCCAGAGAAAACAAGAACCCCACTGAGGATGCGGGGACTGGGTGGTGAGTATAAGTTGTGATTAAGTGAGTGAGCCACTCAGGATAAGTAAGTGAGTGTGAGTGCGTTAATGAGAGTGGTCGGGTGAGTGTGAGTGAGTGTGTAAGTGATGTTGGTGTTGTGATGATGACGATGATGATGTGAGTATGTGAGTGTGTGGGTGAGAAGAGAGGGGATGTTCCTTCCATCCTGTTCCTGCGAGGGGTGTCCACAGAAATCGAGAACCACACTGGATGCGGGGAACAGAAAATCTTTGCTCCCGTACGAATCATTACCAGGGAGCTTGGCCTTCGGCACTCTTGTTCCTCCCACATGGGAGCCCCGCCAGTCGGCTTCGCCACGGCGTGTGGCGACCAGTCGTTTTCTATTCTGGCGGTTTGTTCCTCCCGCTGCTCAACTTCCCGTTGCACACCGCCCTCGGTGCCTGAGGCCACCTGCGCACCGCTCACTTGCCGACTCTCGGCGGTCTGGTTTCCCGCTTCCTCCGCGGCCGCCCTCTGCTTTCCCACCTCCGCGCGCTCCGCACCAGGCGCGCCCCGCAGGACCTGTCCACCGCGCCCGCGACCGCTGGCGCTAAACAACTGTGCCCCCCGCTCGGCTTCATCAAAACTTACTTCGTATACGTGCGCGTCGCCCCCAAAGGGGGCGACGCGCGCGCTCAAAAATCTTAGGCTACGCTTGGTGGCGGGCGTTTTCCGGCCATCCTGATCGGGAAACGGTATCATATGTGCGGGTCGGACGTGCGTCTCCAACAAGGGCGCATAGTCGGAGGTTGGGCGGTGCGATCACATTGGAACGGAGAGCCCCCCACTAGGAAATCGGTTTCGGTGTCGTGTTCGTGTCGTGTCTTGCGTGCGGGCGAGGCGAAGCTACATGCGCGCGCGGGAGGAATGACCCCGCCGTCGCTAGGGTGATTCGGATGCCGTGGACCGCCCCTCCGCCTCCAGTGGGCGCGCGGTGGCCTGGGGTGCCCCGCCGTGGTGTCTAGTGGTGTCCCGTTGGTGTCCCCTTGGTGTTCCGTCGGCGGTGGGCGGGGCGGTGGCCGGGGGTGTCCCACCTTGATACTGATAGTAAAGTCGACAGTGAGATCGATAATGAGACTGTGAAAATGGGATGGCTTGTGAGATAAAAGTGAGATCGGCAGTGAGGTTGGTTGTGATATTGGTTGTGAGATCGATCGATAGTAAGATCGCATTTGTCAGTAATTGGTTCTTTCCCCGCCAGCCCCGAACCTCCTGATCACCCGAAAGGTGGTCGTTTAGGTACTAGTGCGTCCGTATGCAGTCCTCTCGCTCTGGCGTTTCTGCGCTTTGGGCTGGTAGTCGCTTCCCCGTCGGCCTCGTCATCCTCCACTCCCTCGTTCCCTCGTCGTCCTGCGTGGGGCGCGCGGGGTCACAAGGGGGGTCGACCCAAATTATGGCTCCGTGGAAAGTTCCCTCGTCGTCCTGCGTGGGGCGCGCGGGGTCACAAGGGGGGTCGACCCAAATTATGGCTCCGTGGAAAGAAACAAAAACATACAGGGAAGCTGGAAAACGTGGCTGGGGGCAGTCCCTCCACTCTTTACACACCCCTGGCCGGTTTCCCTCCTGTGTCTTGCAGCCTCGGCGACCCCGTTCCAGCTACTTCGTGCTCGTTTCGGCCCCATGCAAGCGTTTCTGGCCTTGGCCACTTCCAATTCCACGGGATTCCCACTTTCGTTTTGTCCAGCTTCCCTGCAGTGCGTCCCCATGCGTCCCACTGCTCCTTCACGACTCTGCCCCCCCGCCGTCCGCCCCAGCCCGCGGTGCTCCCGTGCGCCGCCGCCCCGCCCTCCGCGAGCCCCCCAGGTGGCCCCCGGCGACCCGCAGGGCGGCTCGCGCCCGAGCACTTCGGGCGGCGGCTACCCCGCAGCCCCGGCGGCCCAGCCGCGTCGCGGGGCCGCCCCCGCCCTCCCCCGGCGATGCTCGGCGGCGAGCAAGGGGGGGGGGGGGGGAAGTGGGAGGGCGAGGGCCTGTTCGGAAGGCGGCGGGGTTTCCTCAGACGCCTTCGCGTCGTTTCTGAGAAGCTCTCCCCGTGTCTTCGGAGTAGGTTCAGGGAGCCCCTCGGAAGGCCAGGGGGGACTTCCGGGCCTTCTGAGGAGGCCTTCTGCTTCTCGCTTCCCTCCTTGGCTCGCCGCCGCTTCTCTTTCGGCAGCAACCTTCGGGGGCGGCCAAGAGGAGGGTGATGGCTAGGGGGGGACATCACGGCCTGGGCCAAGAAATCTTCACGGATCTCATGGCCCCTCCTCCTTTAGGTACGCCCTTGGCTCCGCCTATCATCCGCGTACATGCCTCGGGCTACGAGTTGCGAACCCCCCCCCCTTGGACGCCCCCCCCTTGACCGCCACCGAGTTCGGTAGCAATGTACGGAAGCTTTGTACGTATGTCCTCGCAACTCCGTCTTACGAGTGCACCAGCATGCGCTAGCGTCCGGAAATCGATGAGAAAGCTCCGATGCAGCGTCGATGTGCGCCGATGTAGCTTCGATGAGCGTCGACTGGTATCGGTCAGCGTCGATTCACAAGAGCCAGCAAGATGGCATGGGAGGCTCCCACGAGTTGCCACAGAAGCCTCCCCTCTCTCTCTCTCTCGCTTTCTCTCTCTCTCTCTCGCTTTCTCGAATGGCATAGACAGGCATAAACATGAGATCTTGGAGTTCCGCACGGACCTGCTGGAAATTACGTTTATGTTGTTAGTGTTCCTCTATCCGTATTTGTTCCTCCTTTCTCGGGGGCGGCCAAGGGGGAAGGGGGAGGAATGGAGGAGGAGGAGGAGGAGGAGGAGGAGGGGCTATAGAGATATTGGTGTGGCGACAATGTCGGGCACTCTGGAAGCAGCTTTATACCTTGACGTTGCTGTCACGCTTGGCACGTCCTCTTTTAATGAGGACTTTCGGCCGTATGCCGCAGCTGATATTATTAAGATAATAAACCCGATTATTTGAAACAACTCTAGCACATCCAACGCCCAATCTGCACAACAGCTGCAATGCATAACAGCCGCAAGATGAGCAATGCCAGAGCTCCAATCCCGTGTGATACATGACAGTGTGAGCGTCGTGCACGAACCCCCTCGAGATGTGCACCCTGTGCCCAGAAGGAGGTTTCAGGAGGAGGCTGTCCATGTTAACTAAACTGAGACAGGGATTGTCAGGCCAATAAGATTTAGCCGCCAAGGAATCGGAGCCCCGACATCTAGTACAACTCGTATAGTTCGCGAGGTAATGATGAGTAGCAAACGTAGCACAAACACTAGCCGCTGGGGGCCGAACGATAGCAGCTTAACACCTGCGACGGCGTAAGTAACCTAGATCCCTGGAGCACAGCTTATTCAGCTCGGATGGCTTCGAGCTTACCCTGAAGGATGCGCATACGGAGTGCGAAAGCTGTATAGCCGTTCTGCAGTATACGTGCACGCGCACTCTCGGGGAGACGAGCCACTCGTATTCCCTCCGACGCGAGATCATCAGCTATAGCACTACCGTAAACTGAGAGCTCAGGCGCTTTGCGTTGGACAATGGACCGAACAGGAAGAAAGACCACGCCTCCGGACCTCTTTGCCTATAAGCCATCAGGGTTCCGCGTCTGGACCCGCTGGCCGATGCCAGCGCCTATCGAACCAGCCTGAACACAGTGACGTATATGACCAAACCGTCAGGCCGACGGAGGCATGCGAGCAAACTAAATAGCTCCCCTCGGGCGAACGTCTGCCGAGGGCCAGGCGAGGGCCCCCACATCCCGACAGAGATCTGCAGGGGCTCAGCGAGGGACTTGAAGGAGGCCAGCCCCGGCCCGATCTTGCGGAGCCGCGTGTGCGCGTGTGCGCGTGTGTACGTGTGCGCGTGTGCGCGTGTGCGCGTGTGCGCGTGTGCGCGTGTGCGCGTGTGCGCGTGTGCGCGTGTGCGCGTGTGCGCGTGAGTGCGTGTGCGCGTGCGTGCGCGTGTGCGTGTGTGCGCGTGTGCGTGTGTGCATGTGTGTGAATGTGTGTGTGCGTGTGTGCGTGTGTGTTTGCGCTTGCAGGTCCATCTCGTCTTGTAGCAGGGTTGCCGTCTCTGTACGCACACCACACGAGGTGGTGGATTTGCTGAGCGTGCATCTCGCCTTTCCGTACGTTACCTCTGGCTGCCGTCATCAGCGCGTCGCAGGGAAACGTGTGCGTGCGCTTGCTTTCATTCCCAGTGTCCTCACCGCCCGCGAGGCCCCCTTGGCGCCAGCGGTAGCTTCCTCGGCGGAGGCGCGTCCCCTTCTGTTTACTGTTGTCCTGCCGACGACGAGGATGAGGAGCAGGGAGGTCCCACCGAGGTTCGAGGATCGAGGCGTTTGGGCGTTTGTGGGCCTCTGGAGGCTTCCAGGGGCCTACTGGATGCTTCTGGGAGGTGGTAAGTGGTTCTAGACGGGTCCAGGGGGCACTGCACATGTGGGGTTCGGCAAGAACGGGACAGGGGGAGGAGGAAATTAGCCTGACGAAGGGCCCAACCATATGCAGCTGCGAGTACCGCGAGGGAGATGAGACGAAGGAGGGGGGGCGCGCAAACTCTACATAGCGCACCCGGTATAGCATAAGCGGCTGCGAGTGCCGCGAGTGAGATAGGCCAACAAAAGAATTGGCAATGGGGCCTTCGGTGGACCTTCCTGTGGGGCCACGAACTGTGTGAGAGGGGCACCGAAATGGGGGTGGAACTGCATGCGAACCCTGCCGCTGGGGCCTTCGGTGGAACTCCCTATGGTGCCACAATCAGTGTGAGGGGTGCGCCGGAATGGGGGTGGAACTGTATGCGAACCCTGCCACTGGGGCCTTCGATGGGGCTCCCAATGGGGCCACGAACAGTGTGAGGGGTGCACGGGAATGGGGGTGGAACTGCATGCGAACCCTGCCACTGGGGCCTTCGATAGAGTTCCCAATGGGGCAACTAACAGAGTGAGGGGTGCGCCGACATGAGGGTGGAACTGCATGCGAACCCTGCCACTGAGGCATTCGGTGAAGCTCCCTATGGGGCCACGAACCGTGTGAGGGGTGCGCCGACATGAAGGTGGAACTGCATGCGAACATTGCCACTGAAGCATTCAGTGGAGCTTCCAATGGGGCCACGAACAGTGTGAGGGGTGCGCCGAAATGAGGGTGGAACTGCATGCGAACCCTGCCGCTGGGGCCTTCGGTGGAGCTCCCTATGGGGCCGCGAACCGTGTGAGCGGGGCACCTGAAGGTGGGCGGAACTGCATGCGAACCCTGCCGCTGTGGTTTTCGGTGGAGCTCCGTATGGGGCCGCGAACCGTGTGAGGGGTGCGCCGGAATGGGGGTGGAATTGCATGCGAACCTTGCCACTGGGGCCTTCGATGGGGCTCCCTATGGGGCCACGAACAGTGTGAGGGGTGCGCCGGAATGAGGGTGGAACTGCATGCGAACCTTGCCGCTGGGGCCTTCGGTGGAGCTCCCTATGGGGCCGCGAACCGTGTGAGGGGTGCGGCGAGATGAGGGTGGAACTGCATGCAAACCCTGCCGCTGGGGCCTTCGGTGGAGCTCCGTATGGGGCCACGAACCGTGTGAGGGGTGCGCCGAAATCAGGGTGGAACTGCATGCGAACATTGCCACTGAGGCAATCGGTGGAGCTCCCTATGGGGCCACGAACAGTGTGAGGGCGTGCAGGACTGGGCGGGGAACGATGACGATGATGGTGATGATGACGGTCGTAATGGTGATGACGATGGAGATTACGGTGACGAGTTTGATGATGATGATGATGATGATGATGATGATGATGATGATGATGATGATGATGTTTATGATGATGATGATGATGATGATGATGCTGATGCTGATGCTGATGCTGATGATGATGATGATGATGCTGATGATTATGATGATGATGATGATGATGATGATGATGATGATGATGACGGTGGTGATGATGATGATGATGGTGGTGATGATCATGATGTGACGATGTTGATGATGATGTTGATGATGATGCTGACGTTGACGCAGATGCTGATGCTGATGATGCTGATGATGCTGATGATGCTGATGATGATGATGATCAGATGATGATGATGATGATGGTGATGATGGTGATGATGGTGATGATGATGCTGATGATGATGCTGATACTGATGCTGCTGATGATGATGATGAGTATGATGATTATGATAGTGGTGGTGATGATGATGATCATCATCATCATCATCATAATGATCATGATGATGATGATGCTGATGATGATGATGATGCTGATGCTGATGCTGATGATGATGATGATTATGATGATGATGATGACGGTGGTGATGATGATGATGATGGTGGTGATGATCATGATGTGACGATGTTGATGATGATGTTGATGATGATGCTGACGTTGACGCAGATGCTGATGCTGATGCTGATGATGCTGATGATGCTGATGATGATGATCAGATGATGATGATCATGATGATGATGATGGTGATGATGGTGATGATGATGCTGATGATGATGCTGATACTGATGCTGCTGATGATGATGATGATGAGTATGATGATTATGATAGTGGTGGTGATGATGATGATCATCATCATCATAATGATCATGATGATGATGATGATGCTGATGATGATGATGATGATGATGATGATGATGATGATGATGATGATGATGATGATGATGATGATATGATGATGATGATGATGAATCTGAGGAGGAGGAGGAGGAGGAGGAGGAGGAGGAGGAGGAGGAGAGGGAGGGGGGAGGGGGAGGCAGCGGGAGGAGTGACGCGGGGCGCTGCTGTCTCTTCAAACCGAGGACCTAGGGAGGGGGAGGGGGGGGAAATGAAGTGGGGGAGATGGGGGAGGCGCGAGGAGGAGGAGGAGGAGGAGGAGGAGGAGGAAGAGGAAGAGGAAGAGGAGGAGGAAGAGGAAGAGGAGGACGAGGGGGGAGAGGGAGTAGGAAGGAGGAGGAGGAGGAGAAGGAGGAGAAGGGGGAGGAGGAGGAGGAGAAGGAGGAGAAGGAGGAGGAGGAGGAGGAGGAGCGGTAGCCATTTTGGCTCAAGTTCGAAACCCTTGCCGCGGGGCTTCGAGCTTGTGATTTCCGCCGCATTGCGACGGCCATCGAGGGAACGCCCGACGTAGCCAAATCGCTCCAGCCGTGCGCCAAAGCACGCGGCTTTTCTGCCTCGTTACCCGTCCGACAGTCCCATGAGCGGCTGGACCCGTGTGCGCAGCCGCCAGCAGCAGCGCCATGCCCGCAAAGGTGGATGAGGGAACCTGGAAGCAGCAGCCAATGGAGAAGGAGCAGGAGCCGAAGAAGGAGCAGGATGAGCGCTACCTTGTGTGTGACGCGTGCGGGAAGCGGAAGTGGCTCTCGCGCGCCTTCGAGGATCCCTGTGCAAGTGTGGCAACCTCCTGCACAAGAAGGACCTCCAGCCCGACTACGGCCCTGACGAGGAACCCCACCTCCAGCGCATCCTGCAGGGCTTGCAGAGGCTGCTGGGCCCCCCCGAGCTGGAGGCCTTCCAGAACCAATACGTCGCCGCGGGCGTGGCTGACGACGACGAGGACGAGGAGAACCACGCGCCGCTCCTCTCGCAGCAGGTCGGGCCCGCCAAGAGGGCCATGCAGCGCGCATCCGCCGACAAGGACGAATGCCAGCAGAACGTCGACTCCCCCCGCACCCAGCTGCAGCAGGCGGGGGAGGCCCTCGCCGTCGCCATCGTGCAGGAGACCGCCGCCAAGGAGAGCGCCGCCGCCAAGTCCCAGGAATGGGCCGCCTCCGTCCGCCCCGGGAGGGGTGCGGGGCCCGCGGCGCAGCCACGGCCGCCCTGGCGGGCGGGAGGCCATGTGCCAGCCATGGCTCAGGCCGATCAGCAGGTCCTCGCCCAGTTCCTGCCGGCTCACCCCAGCATCGCGGCCCACCTCGGCGCTGGAGGGCCAGGGCCAGGCGGTGGCCCAGCCGCCGCGCCAGGGGCAGCGACAGGGGCCCCTGGCGGCGCGGCCCCAGCGGCCACAGCGGGCGTGCCCCCGCCGCCAGCGGCCATCGCCCGAGCGGCGCGGCAGCTCGGAGAACCCGCTGCTGTCGCCCAGCCCAACGGGCGCCTTAGGCGCGGCGCCTCCACCCCGCCAGCCACCAGGAACCACAGTCCGAGGAGGGTGGCCGCGATCGACATTGATGTGGATGCTAACGGCGATGATGTCATATTTGGGAGTGGCCAAGACGCCGAACCGTGAGCCCGTTCAGCCGCCACAGTACCAGTACATGGATTTCGCCCATCCGCCTCACAGGCCAAGGGGAAGGCAAGTGAGGCCGGTGGTTCTCTAGCCCTGTACGCAGCCAATACTATGACATGGGAAGATACTGCCAGCAAGTATATACTAGACTCTCGTTTCCAGGCGGATGCGTTTATCCCGGCGAAAATCATCTCACAATAGACCTGCACGGGGATGTTCGGATGAGTTTTCAAAAGCAAGGCTGGAAAACCTACGTTTGCCCGGCTACCGCTACCGCCATGGGGAGCCGGGGGGGGATCCCGTTGGGCGCCGGGCCCCACCTCTCCTCGCATGCCATGGTCATGGGGGCTAGAGGTAACGCCGGGCCACTCGCCTCAGGGACCCGTTGGACCCGTTGCACTATCAAGCTAGCTGGGTGAGCCTCCTGGCGGCTGGCATCCACTTGATTATTGGGGTCGGTATGAACCGAGCATATCTTGATATCGCCCAGGAGGTGACCTGTCACACTAGAGCCCAAAAGATCCCCTACCTGATCGCGGGGGACTGGGACGTCATCCCAGAGGACCTCGAGAAACCCATGAAGTGGCCCCAGTAAGTCAAAGGGTGTGTCGTCGTTCCAGATAACGCTGCGTGGACATGCTCGAATGGACGCTGCATGTTGGATTAGTTTGTCATTGACCAGCGGCCGGCGCTCCACGACTCCCCCGCGGCGGTCTTGGAGGGCCCGTAGAGGTCTCATCCGGGGGCGGCGGGAGCTCTGGCCCGCGCACAGGGAGTTGTCCCGGCACGCAGTCGGGCAGCCCCCCTTCCCAGAGAGCACCTCGAGGCCAAGCAGCCCCGGGAATATTGCGATCAGCAGGCCGATGGGGGCCCAGCCTGCCCCGTCTGCGCCCAGCACGTCAGCTCCCAGACCCCCAGGGGCTACGCCGCCCTCGGTCGCGCCCTGGAGCTGCAAGAGACGCAACAAAGCGGGGGGGCATGGGCCCCCGCAGCGAGGTCAATGCGCCAGCTTTGTTCGCCGACCACCGCTGCCCCCAGCGCC